CCACCAGTGCCCCTGTTGAGGAGCCCAAGAAGGAGACCTCCGATGATGAGAGCGAGCGCGAGCTAGACACGCCCAAGAAGTCTGCGGGTGGTGACAGCGACAGCGAGCGTGCCATCCCCGTTCCCGTCGTGCCCACCAGTGCCCCCGTTGAGGAGCCCAAGAAGGAGACCTCTGATGATGAGAGCGAGCGCGAGCTAGACACGCCCAAGAAGTCTGCGGGCGGTGACGACACGGATAGTGAGCGTGCCATCCCGGTTCCCGTTGTACCCACCAGTGCCCCCGTCGAGGAGCCCAAGAAGGAGACCTCCGATGATGAGAGCGAACGCGAGCTAGACACGCCCAAGAAGTCTGCGGGTGGTGACAGCGACAGCGAGCGTGCCATCCCGGTTCCCGTCGTTCCCACCAGTGCCCCCGTTGAGGAGCCCAAGAAGGAGACCTCCGATGACGAGAGCGAGCGCGAGCTAGACACGCCCAAGAAGTCTGCGGGTGGTGACAGCGACAGCGAGCGTGCCATCCCCGTTCCCGTCGTGCCCACCAGTGCCCCCGTTGAGGAGCCCAAGAAGGAGACCTCTGATGATGAGAGCGAGCGCGAGCTAGACACGCCCAAGAAGTCTGCGGGCGGTGACGACACGGATAGTGAGCGTGCCATCCCGGTTCCCGTTGTACCCACCAGTGCCCCCGTCGAGGAGCCCAAGAAGGAGACCTCTGACGATGAGAGCGAGCGCGAGCTAGACACGCCCAAGAAGTCTGCGGGTGGTGACGACACGGATAGTGAGCGTGCCATCCCGGTTCCCGTCGTGCCCACGAGCTTCCCCGTCGAGGAGCCCAAGAAGGAGACCTCCGATGATGAGAGCGAACGCGAGCTAGACACGCCCAAGAAGTCTACCGGCGGTGACAGCGACAGTGAGCGTGCCATCCCGGTTCCCATCGTGCCCACCAGTGCCCCTGTTGAGGAGCCCAAGAAGGAGACCTCCGATGATGAGAGCGAGCGCGAGCTAGACACGCCCAAGAAGTGTGCGGGTGGTGACAGCGACAGCGAGCGTGCCATCCCCGTTCCCGTCGTGCCCACCAGTGCCCCCGTCGAGGAGCCCAAGAAGGAGACCTCTGATGATGAGAGCGAGCGCGAGCTAGACACGCCCAAGAAGTCTGCGGGCGGTGACGACACGGATAGTGAGCGTGCCATCCCGGTTCCCGTTGTACCCACCAGTGCCCCCGTCGAGGAGCCCAAGAAGGAGACCTCTGACGATGAGAGCGAGCGCGAGCTAGACACGCCCAAGAAGTCTGCGGGTGGTGACGACACGGATAGTGAGCGTGCCATCCCGGTTCCCGTCGTGCCCACGAGCTTCCCCGTCGAGGAGCCCAAGAAGGAGACCTCCGATGACGAGAGCGAGCGCGAGCTAGACACGCCCAAGAAGTCTACCGGCGGTGACAGCGACAGCGAGCGTGCCATCCCGGTTCCCGTCGTTCCCACCAGTGCCCCCGTTGAGGAGCCCAAGAAGGAGACCTCCGATGATGAGAGCGAACGCGAGCTAGACACGCCCAAGAAGTCTGCGGGTGGTGACAACACGGATAGTGAGCGTGCCATCCCGGTTCCCGTCGTGCCCACGAGCTTCCCCGTCGAGGAGCCCAAGAAGGAGACCTCCGATGACGAGAGCGAGCGCGAGCTAGACACGCCCAAGAAGTCTGCGGGTGGTGACGACACGGATAGTGAGCGTGCCATCCCGGTTCCCATCGTGCCCACCAGTGCCCCCGTTGAGGAGCCCAAGAAGGAGACCTCTGACGATGAGAGCGAGCGCGAGCTAGACACGCCCAAGAAGTCTGCGGGTGGTGACGACACGGATAGTGAGCGTGCCATCCCGGTTCCCGTTGTGCCCACGAGCTTCCCCCGTTGAGGAGCCCAAGAAGGAGACCTCCGATGACGAGAGCGAGCGCGAGCTAGACACGCCCAAGAAGTCTGCGGGTGGTGACGACACGGATAGTGAGCGTGCCATCCCGGTTCCCGTTGTGCCCACGAGCTTCCCCGTTGAGGAGCCCAAGAAGGAGACCTCCGATGACGAGAGCGAGCGCGAGCTAGACACGCCCAAGAAGTCTGCGGGTGGTGACGACACGGATAGTGAGCGTGCCATCCCGGTTCCCGTCGTGCCCACGAGCTTCCCCGTCGAGGAGCCCAAGAAGGAGACCTCTGACGATGAGAGCGAGCGCGAGCTAGACACGCCCAAGAAGTCTGCGGGTGGTGACGACACGGATAGTGAGCGTGCCATCCCGGTTCCCGTTGTGCCCACGAGCTTCCCCGTTGAGGAGCCCAAGAAGGAGACCTCCGATGACGAGAGCGAGCGCGAGCTAGACACGCCCAAGAAGTCTGCGGGTGGTGACGACACGGATAGTGAGCGTGCCATCCCGGTTCCCGTCGTGCCCACGAGCTTCCCCGTCGAGGAGCCCAAGAGGGAGACCTCCGATGACGAGAGCGAGCGCGAGCTAGACACGCCCAAGAAGTCTGCGGGTGGTGACGACACGGATAGTGAGCGTGCCATCCCCGTTCCCGTTGTACCCACCAGTGCCCCCGTTGAGGAGCCCAAGAAGGAGACCTCCGATGATGAGAGCGAGCGCGAGCTAGACACGCCCAAGAAGTCTGCCGGCGGTGACGACACGGATAGTGAGCGTGCCATCCCGGTTCCCGTTGTGCCCACGAGCTTCCCCGTTGAGGAGCCCAAGAAGGAGACCTCCGATGATGAGAGCGAACGCGAGCTAGACACGCCCAAGAAGTCTACCGGCGGTGACAGCGACAGTGAGCGTGCCATCCCGGTTCCCATCGTGCCCACCAGTGCCCCTGTTGAGGAGCCCAAGAAGGAGACCTCCGATGATGAGAGCGAGCGCGAGCTAGACACGCCCAAGAAGTCTGCGGGCGGTGACGACACGGATAGTGAGCGTGCCATCCCCGTTCCCGTTGTACCCACCAGTGCCCCCGTTGAGGAGCCCAAGAAGGAGACCTCCGATGATGAGAGCGAACGCGAGCTAGACACGCCCAAGAAGTCTACCGGCGGTGACAGCCGGACAGTGAGCGTGCCATCCCGGTTCCCATCGTGCCCACCAGTGCCCCTGTTGAGGAGCCCAAGAAGGAGACCTCCGATGATGAGAGCGAGCGCGAGCTAGACACGCCCAAGAAGTCTGCGGGTGGTGACGACACGGATAGTGAGCGTGCCATCCCGGTTCCCGTCGTGCCCACGAGCTTCCCCGTCGAGGAGCCCAAGAAGGAGACCTCCGATGATGAGAGCGAGCGCGAGCTAGACACGCCCAAGAAGTCTGTGGGTGATCTCACCATCACTGCGCCGATAGACAAAGGCGACGGATCGGATGGATTTTCAACGACCGCCACGTCGAGTACGGAGATGACGGTGGAGACGCCTCAAGTGATGCTAAATTCAGCGAATGCGGTGGCGTTTGCCCAGGCAGTGAATGTCCCCGTCCCTGCTGATGTGCTGGAGGCGAAGCGCGGCTCAAAAATGGAAGTGACGGAAGACGATTTTGACTTTTAATAGGGTGCAGAATTAGTGCACTTTGCTGCGTTACATAGAAATAGGAGTGATACAAATGTATAGTTTTTGTTGTGGTTGTTTTTTTGCGGCGTTGTGTGTGACATATTATATACAAATCAAAATTAAAGAGAATGTTAATAGAGAAGAGTAATCCTAACTAATGAAATCCATCAACGTATGTGTGTGTGGTTTGTGCTCGGGGTGGTGTCTGTCACGTGATTCTTTGGTCCCCTTCCTTTATCACCCCTCTCCCCTTCCCCTTCTCCACGTAGGTTTGCGTCATGAGTAAACTGTGTCAGTTGCTGCAGTGCAAGGTCCCCCTGATACTGTCCCCCATGCTGGGGGTCGGGGACATGGCGCTCGCCCGCCGTGTGGCGAGCTGCGGGGCCGTGGGCTCCTTCCCGTGCAGCGGATTGGACCCCCACCGGATAGAAAAGGCAGTCGGCGGGGCGCCGGTGGCGGGGATCAACTTCAACTTTTTTACGCACACGGTGGCGGAGAAGGCGGTCAGCCCGGAGTGGCTCGACGTGGTGCGGCCGTACTATGAGAAGGAAGGGGTGTCCCTTTCAGAGGAGGCGGTCCTAAAAGACCTGCAAGGGGCTACCACATTCGGACCGGAGGTGTTCGACACGATTGTCCGTTTAGGGGTGACGGTGGTGTCGTTTCACTTTGGGCTCCCCGCCGACCCGCTGTGGAAGAAGGTGAAGGAGAGCGGGCTGACCACCATGGCAAGCGCCACGACGGTGGCGGAGGCCGTCTACCTGTATGAGCGGGGCGTGGATGTGCTTATTTTGCAGGGCTTCGAGGCCGGTGGGCACCGCGGCTGCTTTCTTCCGAAGAGTACGCTCGACCAGCAGCCCGGCACCTTTGCCCTCGTCCCTCAGGTGCGCCGGGTGTTGGGGGAGCATGCGTGCCTTGTGGCGGCCGGCGGCATCGTGGACAAGGCGACGGTGCGGGCGGCGATGGCACTGGGTGCGGACGGTGTGCAGGTCGGGACAGCGTTTTTGCTCTGCGACGAGGTGCGCACGACGGCAGTCCACCGTGCCGCGCTCGTCGACGCCCGTTCCTCGCACCGCGGCTCCCAGATCACGAACATTCTGTCCGGTCGCCCCGCCCGCGGTCTGGCGAACACGCTCATGCGGGAACTGGGCTCCCTGCGGCAAGACGCGCCGGCGTTCCCTTTCGGCACCTCTTACCTGAAAGCGCTGCGCGCGGCGGCGGAGTCGCGGGGGAAGAGCGATTACTCCTCCCTGTGGTGCGGACAGAACCTCAGCGGCTGCCAGACGTGCAGTGTGTCCGACAAAATTGCCCAACTGTTTTAATTCTTTAGCGTATTGATCGTCCGCTTTTTTCTTGTAAAATAGTGAACGGTGGTTGGGGTAAAAAAAAAAAGAATGATGGAGCGTGCCGCCAGAAAAACCCGAAACACATCCTCTCCCCGCTCTTTCGTCCGAAAAAAAAAAAAAAGCGATCCCGGCAGGACTCGAACCTGCAACCCTTAGATCCGAAGTCTAATGCGCTTCCATTGCGCCACGAGATCATTGGAAGAAGTCGATTCCAATGTCTTGGTGACCCACATCCCAAACGAATTTGTCGGCCGTTTCGTCGGCCGTGTAGCACAGTGGCAGTGCACTGGTCTTGTAAACCAGGGGTCCCGGGTTCAATTCCCGGCGTGGCCTGCTATTTTTTCTAGCTCCCCACAATACCCCTACCACAGAGCCGGAAGGTGAAAAAGTGAGGACTGCAGGGATTGAACCTGCGGCCCCTGGATTTGGAATCCAATGCTCTACCACTGAGCTAAGCCCCCAACTGCGCCTTGTAAAACCACTGTTCCGTGTGTTCATTTCCGAGCAGACGCTATCAAAGGGCCATATTCTGTGGCAATCGTGGTCCAACGGTTAAGATTCCCGCCTTCCAAGCGGGTGACCCGGGTTCGACTCCCGGCGATTGCAAAGAATTTTTTCACCCTCTACTCAGTGTTCCACCGATGAAAAAAACATATTTTTGTGTGCTCCTAGTGGGGCTCGAACCCACGATATTCGGTACATAAGACCAACGTCCTAACCAACTAGACCATAGGAGCCCTTTTTTCGTGCAAAATTCTTTCCCTGCTTGGGGTGCATCGGCTCAAAAAGACTTTACGCGGGGCGGGGTTTGAACCCGCGACGTTCTGCGTGTAAAGCAGACATCATAACCACTAGATCACCCACGCTCGTTTTAAAGGCTTTTTTTTGTTTTACGAAGTCCCCGTTATGGTTGGTAAAAAACTTTGACAAGAGTGGGGTTTGAACCCACGCCTCCAGGGGAGATTACGACCTGAACGTAACGTCTTAGACCGCTCGACCATCTTGCCTCGTGTTCGTTTGGGTTTTTGTGTGAAGCGGGGAGGGTGAGCATTGTTGTGGAATTTGATTTCTTTTTTTCGGTCTCTCTCCGTTTGCCTTCTAGTAACCATCTGCAGCGCGGCATCACGAAACCGCCAAGTCGCAGCAAATTTTGAGGGCTTCGGCCTTTTTTTTTTGACGTCGGGAAAAACAGCGCACTCCGTGGGGATCGAACCCACGACCATTCGGTTAAAAGCCGAACGCTCTACCGACTGAGCTAGGAATGCCACAAACTTACCGTATGAAACGCCTTGGGTAGTCCCGTGTAAAATACCAGTAAATTTGTTTATGCCGGCGGACCCAACTTCCGCACTTACACTCAGTAAGACCGTACTCTGAACAGAATCGTTTTATGAGTACAACCTCTTAATTGAAAAATAACCAAGTTTCAAATCCTGATGAAGATGGTTGCTTTCTTCGCCCGGAGAGCGTTTCGATGAACGGCAGAAGAGGGTTCCAGAAGGATTCTTTTTCCCACAAAAGAAAAGAAAAGAGGAGAGGGGACGTTGATGTACTTTTTTTTTTTGGATTATATCGGACCCACACTCCACAACACAAATCACCTACACCCACCATTTTATCGTATCAAGAGACGCATCAACCGGACCCCTGTGGAGGCGAACGCACCCGACTCCACGGGTGCCGCGAATTTGGCGAACGGCGACGAAGCGACCACCGGCGGGTCGTACGGCTTGACGGTCAGCTGCCGCATGTACTTTTCATTCAGCTGGCGCACCAACCGGTCCACCTCGCCCGCCTTCCACGGCAGCACCCCCAGTGTCTTGGTCTCGCTGGCGCTGTAGAAAGCCGTCCCTGGCTGGCCGCACGCCGCAAAGCACGACTCCAGCTGCAGCGGCTTCACGTGGGCGCCGTGGTCAATCTGGACGACCGGCGCGGGCGTGTACTCGTCTGTCTCCGCCCCCAGCGCGACCGAGTAGAGCGAGCGGAACAGCGCCACCTTGTTCACCCACTTGGCGGGCGCATCGGCGAGGCTCGTCGACCCCACCTCCGCCAGCAGGTTGAGCAGAAGCGTCCCCGTGATCAGAGAGTCGTAGCCCGCCTCGTGCTCCGGGCCGCCACCGCGACCGCTCCCCATCAGCGTCATGGGGTCGTAGGACTGGAACCCCAGTGGCAGACGCACCGACACCTTGTCGGACTGGAAACCGTACTGCTCAAAGAAGCCGCCGAGGTAGTTGGATGGGAAGCGCCCGGCCGGAAAGTGGTCCTGCTGCGACGTAATGTACTTGGTGTCCAGCACCGTCGGGAAGCACTCGTGCACCTCCTTCTTGCACTCCGACAGGCTCTCCGGCAGCGGCTGGTGCAGCGCGGCCATCAGGAAGAGAATGTCGGCGAAGCAGTTGTGGCCCACCATGGGTTTTTTGCTCTCGACCAGGGCGTTGAAAATGTGCCGAAACCCAATCACGTCCAGCTCCTCCCGGCGGCGGGAGAGGACCTCCGCCTCGCGCGACCGCTGCAGCTCCTCCTTGGAGCGCGCCCGGATCACCGCGCTGTACACCTGCCCCTGCCGCCGGTACTGCACCGTCACCTGCGGCAACTCCCGCTGCAGGCGGGCCGCGAACCGCTCCCGCACCGTTCTGCTCTTCTGCACCGGCAGCATCACCTCGCTGCCCCCCTCCACCACCGCGGACGCCACAGGGAGGTTCGGGTTGGCCTCGCGGAAGGCCGCCCAGCACGTCTCGGCGCGTTGCAGAAGTGTCTCGGCCGCCTGGAATGACTCCCGCAGCCACGCCTTCTCCTCGTCCAGGAGCAGCAGCAGCTCCTCTTCCTCCTTCTCCACCACGACGCCCCGCTCCTTCAGTCGCGCCGCCAGCACCTTTTCCCGCGCCGCATCCACAAAGGGGATCCCCTTGTACATCCACTCCTGAAAGTCCATCTTGTGCTTGCGCAAAAAGTCGACCGTCGACGCGTTCAGCACCACATCCCGCACGAGGCCGGCATCCTGCGGGTCGTCGTTGTGGTAGGGAAAGACCACAAAGTTGAACGGGTAGGCCAGGTAGCTCAACTTGCCATTCTCGGCAGTCGGCTGCCGCACAAACAGGGTCACCCCCACTTGGATAATGGAGTACCGACTCGCCGCCAGCTTTTTGGACCGGTAGCTCTCCACCGGCGTGAAGGTGATGTTTTCCGTGACCTCAGGCACATTGATGCCCGTCATCTCCTCGTCCATCGCGTAGAACTCGCACTGCCGGAGTATGTCCACAAAGAAGGCATACGTCGCCGGGAACACGCTGCGGTCCACGTTCATCTGAAATATAGATGTATGTCTGTATGGGTGATTTGGTTTCTATCCTGAGGGAAGAGAGAGAGAGAGAAGGTGGAGAGGCACAGGTGGCGACACCATCGACCGATTCCGTAATCCTTATAGAAGACTGCTCGCGCACCCCTTTTTAGTTGTGTTTGTACAAGCTACAGTTGGTTCACTCCACCGACTGAATCCCAAAGGACCAGCGGGCGGGATGCTGCAACGACAACTCCCCGCCTTCGGGTGTGTCTTCGTTAATCTGGTAAAACACCTGCGCGTGGGTGACGTAGGCGGACGACAGGACAGAGACAATGTCGGTCCCGGTGACCGGGTCCCCCCGAAAGTCACTCAGCAGCACGTGCTGCAGCCCTCGGTCAGCCCCTTCTTCCTCACCCCCCTGCTGCTGCCTCACGTACACATACTCGAGCGACTTGGCGTTAATCAGATAGCAGAATTGCGGCAGGACCTGCAGCACAAATTGAAAGGAGTACGTCTCCCCTGGCTGCAGGATAAACGGGGGGCGGTCATGGCTCACAATCATGGGGGTCACGGTGACCACCTTGGTGAGCAGCTCCACGTACTGCATGTCGGCCGCCTTCGGGCCGCGCCGGAAAGAGATCCAGTGGGGGCTACTACTGCTACCCTCCTCGCCAGAAGTGCCGTCGTCCCTCTCGGTGGAGTGCAGGTCAAACGACGCCCCCTGCAGCAGCACCGGCCGCGGGGAGCTGTTGGCAATGTCGAGGCTCAACAAGAGCTGATCCGCGCTAAGGGGACTAATGTAGCTTTGACACCGCAACGTTGGTTGGATCCGGGCGCACATGGACGCCGTCCCCAGCTGTATGGACGGGTGGTTGAGCCACGGCGGCATGTCGGACGGGCCGTTCGTGATAAACTCCCGCAGTAAGATTTGACGCACCGTGTTCTCCCCTGACGTGGTCCCATTGGACAGCGGCATCACGAGCAGAAAGGCCAAATTGCGGGAGGAGAACCCGTCCGGGCCTAACGACGGGTCGCACTCCCATTCCGGCACGGTGAAGCGCATCTCAAATTTGGACCGAATAAACGTCGGGATGCCCTGCGCCGCTCCCTCCGCGTACCGCACATCGAGCGTGCTCTCCGACAGCACCAGGTTGCTCGCCACCTGCGACCCGACCGACGCGTCAAAGGCGTCGGAAAAGCGAAACCGACTGTCCCGCTTGTTAATGTTGCACCCCGTGTGGGGGACGCCTAGCGTTGTTTTCCCAAACACAAAGTGCACCACCGACGTGTCGGCCTCCTTGGGGGTGCGACTGCGGGTGATGGAGGAGAGGGGGAGGGCAGGGACACCCGGGATGGTGGACTGCAGCGCCTTCACCGGCGTCGCCGAGCTCGACGACACCTCCGTCGTCCCCACTAGCGAGGAGCTGTCGGTCGTGTCGGGGGAGCTAAGCAGGAACGGCGTGCAGAGGAGCGAGCCAAAGAGCACCTTCCACACGCTCAACCAGTCTGCGCCTCCGACGGTATTCAGAAAGGCATACACCTGACTATCCTTTTTGTTCTTTTCATTTTCAAAGGTGATTTCCAAGTCGAGGTGCAGCACTTCTCTAGGTTCTAGCACCAGACACGTCGTCACACTATACAGACTCTTGTTTGCGCAGGCGGCGCTCTCCCACAGGACGTCCCTCGGAGTCATCGAGATGGATACTAATTCTTCTAGAATGTTCATTCACGCTACTAGTGGAGAGAGGGAGGGAGGGGCATGGAAGGCTGATGCACAAAAAAAAAAAAAAATTCACCACGTACACCTGTACAACAAGCACGTGAGTGTTTCCCTTTGATCTATCCGGACAAAAACAAAAAAACATAAATGAACAAAAAACATAAATGAACATCTGAAAAAAAAAAAAAAAGAAAGTCTACAAATCTAAAACAGTGAACAAATTTCTATTCCACAATGACTTACTGATTCTGGAAAAGCACACGACGAGTGCTCTCTAGTATCTCCTGGGCCTTGCGGTGTTTGGCCTCATTTTCGCGACTCTCCTCCTCCCACCCGGCGCACAGCTTGTGGAGGTCTTCTAAAGTGACTTCCGCCGTCTTTCCGTCGCCGTGGAGGTCGCCGGTGAAGGGGACGAACGACGTGGTGGTGCCGCCTTGGGAAGACTTACCCTCCCCTCCCTGCACCGGTCGGTTTGTCGTGTCTAGCAGAACCGTCGCCGAAGCCTTCTCCCCTTCCTCCTCCGGTCTCGGCCGCTTCAGGTCGGGCTGTCCGATCGTGGTGGCGTTGCCGCCGTTTTCCTTGTTGCGCTGCGCACTGCTCATCATCATTCCCCTGGAGCACTCCGGCGTGGGCAGCTCATACTCTTGCACTAATATTTTACCCCGAAAGGTGACGCGGCTGCTCTCGGCGTTGGCGTCCCGTCTGGCGACGTAGTGCTTGCCAATGTGCAGCACATC